GTAGCACAGCTGGTAGAGCATGCGCGTACAAAGCGTAGGCGGCGTCCATGCGTGAGTTCGGATCCCACCGAGGCTACTTAACTTTTCACAATCGACGTACAGAAAATTATGGCAATTGTGGCTGTTCATCTCATTCGCAATTTCACTCTGCCCCGGTTACTTATCCCGTCATTCATGTTCATTTGGGCCGTCAAGGTGATTCGATTCGGTCACTGATGTATTCACTTTTTGCCACATTCTTTAAAGAGTCATGCAGTCAGTTTTAGAAAGACATCAAGTAGAATGACCACTTTACCGATGAATGTTAATGTTCATAGTCGAGGTATAAGTGGTTGTAAACGGTACGTTGAATCCAACCGGAAGAACGCCATAAACAGCTCGCTCCTTAGTTCTAGTGATATTCCAATGACCCAATGTATAAAATGTGCATACAAAGCCAGAGCCAGTGATAAAGGTTTTGACCAACCATACTATACCCATTGTTCTGTTTTTCATCTTTCCACCACAGTGTTTTCCTCATCAACCTGATCCGCTGTTTGGCACATTGGGTGTCAGCCCAATAACGCAACCGATTCTGTTGAACTTCAGCGCCCGCTGTCCGTATTCCGGTATCTCAAACGTGATTCTGGCCACACCAACCGGACATATATTTCGTTTTCACGGTAGAGACGGACGACTGCTAGCCTATGCTACATTTGGCGCAGCATGCCTGCTTTTACGTTCAAACCGTTTAGATTCAACGGGAGATAGCCGCGACACACCTGTGGGACAAACGCAGTGGTCTACAATGGCCATCAGTCCTGATGGTCGCTTTATGGTTTTAGCTGATGCGGGTGAGCGGACCAAGTATTGAGTCAGATCAATGAATGCTGTCGTAATTGCGCACCATCGCATACATCCTTTCTCCCTATTAGATAAAACAATTAAATTATTAATCCATTCAAACTAATACCCCTCTAAAGGTTTTCTCCTTTGGATTTCCCTGAATCCAACGATACATAGAGATCTCACAGTTATTTTCCTCATGTCATTACCGCCTTCAGCTCGCCCGCTGCTCTACACTACTTCAGTTCGACTTCACCTTGTTCAACCGAATAAACAGTATGCAACAACAACAACACCAGATATTCGTTGGCGTCTTCAATACAAAACGTTTAGCGGACACTTGTACCCAGTGACATCAGTTCTGTTCACACGAGATCAAAAGTGCTGTGTAACAATTGATCAAGGTTTTGGCCTGGTCGGGGGAAGCGCCATATTCGTTTGGAAATTTTCCCATCCCTACAGAAAAGTTCGAATTGGGCTGAATCGTTCGATAGACGAGTATGCCTCGGCAGATCCGAGGCAGGATTACACGAACAAGACTACAACCACAAGTTATTTGGGTGAGTGCGAAAACAGGATTGTTGAACTGTGTATCGTTATCAGTGTATTTCATTCAGTATGATATCTGTTTCTTACTATATTTTTATAAATTCTCTCGGATACTGTCAACCTTGCAGTGAGGACTAATGACAGAACCACAAAGGGGCGCATAGTTTATTATTATTATTATAATTACTGATTTCTATTCTGGGTCATATCCTTGAGGAATTCTCACTAACGGCAATCATCACTTTTTTGTCTTCACAACTCTTCTTAATGAATAGATAACGACACATTTTTTATGGAGAGGAAGCAGCTAATCAAACGGCTGCCATAGGACACAATGGGGAAAGTCAGTCTATGATAGTGATGGGATTCAAACACACGCTCTTCGAGGTGACAATTTCAGGATTTCACCACACCGCCCAAACTGCCTCGAACTAAAAAGTCAGAAGCACCGGCAGAAGAAAACACCGAGACTAGTTGCTTCTTAATTCTGAGTCAAGTCATGATCTGCGAACTGTCGTCCGTGACGGCTTATTCAATGATCTCAGGCCCACTTTATCCACGGTTAGCCGCCAATTGTTGGCTGTTCCTTAATCCGTAAAAACTGAAACTGGCACTAAACCCGCGACAGCGACACGCTCTATGGCATGCAGATTTACCTTTCCGAGAAATCATGTTCAAAGTTTCTATTATTCAATATAGTGATCTTAATGTGTCAATCAGCCAGTAAGATCTCAGTGAAAAAAAACCATTTGGTTGTTGATATTCACTCACACACACACATACTGTAGTGTGAAATTTCCCTTTGATGGTTATTCGTATCAGCCTGTCTCTGTAGCGTCAAAGGGTTGACCTGATAACCTTGATTGAGGGTTAACATTTATTATTCTTCCTTTTCCATTTTGACTATTCATAAACAGGGTATTTTGTAGTTGGCACTAGAATTACATCATAATAGTTTATTTAACTCCTGCCAATCAGAGCTTGGCGTGTGATGCCGGGGGTAGGATATTCCTTTGTCTCTCCGATAGTACAGAAAAGAAATATTCTATGGATTGGGACAAACCATCAAAATTTAAATTAATTATCAATACGAAGACCAGATAATAATATCTTGGATGTGATTGGTTACCTCAAGTCTAAAGCCAGTGGAGGTTTGTTACTGTGTTGAAAATTATTAAAACGGCCACTTGCGTGGTCGACTGTGAATAGTTGAGCTCTGTTTCACTGCAATAGAGATCGCACACGAGACAAATGGTGGTCTCAGAATGTGGAGTTGGGTTCTAACCTGCTGAGTAATCCCTCAGCATTGAAAAGCCACCAATGTCTGCGTAAGAAATCGTGGTGGGTTTGACTCTGTTCTGCAACTGAACAAGGCACTTTCTATCACGATGGTACCTTACATTCAGCACCCGATTGTGCAAGGACTGGGTGCACATCAATAAAGCAGAAGAACAAATAGCTATGCTACTTTTACCATATTTGGAGGATACTTTACGAATATTTTGAAGAGGCCGGCTTATCTTCCCATAGCAGAAGGTCATCGAAAAGTAAACACTGAGCACTGTAAGGTATACCTGTACCAAGGAGTGTTTTTTTTATTTTTCATTTGTTTATGTCAGGTAATATCTTGAAGTCTCCGATTAGATTTGAATTTTACATTTTTATGCACCACGTTTGATCACACTCTTTCGTAAATCAACTTTGTCTACCAATCAGGAAAGGAGTACATTAAACAAGTAAACTGATTATAGTAGTACCCAGATACAGATGTAGAATGTAAATGAAGTAGGTGAGCGTAGAAATCGAGCGGATGCCCAAGAGACAGTGTTTATATTTTTTTAAACATTACACCCAGTATTTCTATCTACTGACTAGATTTGTAACAGTCAAAAAGCCCAACCCCCTTAGAAGAGCTTCTTACCAAATATATATCCAAATAATGAACGTGATGCAGTATATATATATATATATATATATATCGCAATGGCATTATTCCTCCTTTTTACAATTCTTTTGCAGAGTCTCCTATGAACAAAACAGATTGTGGGACAAACGATGTAAGTTCAAGTATTGGACGAATTCTGATATGATCCTTTTACTGGTATTGAGTAGCAGTTTTGTTGATGAGAATCCCGAACACGAACTTAGAATGAATCTCCGCTATCTTTGAACTATTCCTGAGATCAACTTGACCTAAGTAGTTTGAATACACAAGGTTTGTGAAGCGGGCAACCAATTGGTCTTTGAATACATGGTGAAAATGTTTTAGATTGTTAATTCTTTTAAACTGGTAATCATAAATGAAGAACACTGAAAAATGCCTTGTCTGTTCGAATTTATCGATCATGAGAATAGCTTATTTGACATTTCAAAAGGTTCTGTTGCCTCGTCCAGCACACACACACACTTAGCACGACGGAATGTTGTGAAACCAGCACACAGCACCGATTGAATCACAAGGTCTGTCGGATCGGAATAAATGTATTTCTCTTTTGTCTTACTCAGAACAATGTGGACTTCTCTAGTAAACCACAAAGTAGCGTGATCTGCTCATTTTTTCTCGCAAATAAATTTTAGTAGTCGATCCGGGGTTCATGAGAGTCAACAGGTTCCAACGGAAAGATGTGAATCGGTCATCATTCCGATTTACTAGAAATTTGACATCCTCTTGTGAAAACTACAGAGGAATCAGTTTAATCAGCAGTGTCTCTAAGCTTCTCACTGGCGCTATACTCCGTCGATTGTCTGCCGCATGTGAACAGTGCACGTGTGAGAACCAGGCTGGTTTTAGATCTGGCAGAGGTGGTATAGACCGCATTTTCACTCTTTGTTTGGCACACAGTCTGGCGTCAGACGTGTGTCAAATATATATATATATATATATACTTGATGTTCAGTTGTTCCCAGAGCTTGGCAATTGTATTGCAAACGTTTCATCATCAATCGAGGTGACATTCTTAACGCAGTAACTGGGAATGAGAGAGAATTTCACCTTGATTGGTGATGAAACGTTTGCGATACAATTGCCAANCTCGGCGAACAACTGAACATTAAATTATACTCCCCCGAGCTACAAAAACAACAATCAACACCGTTGTTTACAAAACTGTCATATATATATATATATTGCTAAAGGATTGGGTTGGTTCGTTTCTCAAGCTCATTCTATCTTGGCAAGCAACAGAAGTCGTAAGCAACTTCTGTTTTTTGGGCGGCTACATCTCATCCGGCTGACGCATCACAGATGAAGAGTCGGCGCGCATACAAAAGGCTCAGTTGGCATTTGCCAACTTGAGACATCTGTAGCTCCATTGCGACATCCGGCTGTCCGTGAACGGTCGAGTATTTGCTTTTGTAGTTCGACCAGTGCTGCTGTACGGTGCAGAGACTTGGCCATTACGGTAACAGGATGAAAATAAATCGTCGTTGTTCGAACATCACTGTCTACGTGGCATTGCAGGAGTCTGGTGGCGAAACCAGACGAGCAATACTGAGGTTAGGCGTAGAGTTTTAGATAATCGCAGTTGTCCACTGGAGCAGGTAGTCGACCTTCATAGATTACGTTGGTTGAGGCATATGTTACGCATGTCCCTAAATAGGTTACTACGGTGCGCGATGTTTGCCGAGGCAGGTAACGGTTGGAAAAAATTTAAGGGCGGTCAAATTAAGACCAGGTATGAGAGTTTGCAAATCCTAGGCAGGAGACTGGTTCACAAAAGTTTCATTAGGCTCGCTGGATGGGGACACGAGACCATGGTAACCGGTAGTTAGAGGCACTGAGTGGCATTGCTTAGTGTTGCAAACAGTGGCGCCCGTGCATCTTGCAACCCTAATCTGTGTGGTTTCTCTATCTTGTTATTGACTCTGCTCTCAACATTCCTATTTTCCTTCTGCTCTTTTATTCAAATGGACAGTCAAAAAGAAACAGAAACCAAAACTGGCGTACGAACATTCATAGTTAATGATTGCAAAAAAGGAAAATGAAGCTGGAAACTTGCTGTTTAGTTGAAGGGCCGCTGCTTATTTCTTTCTATTCCGATGTCAACATTAAGCCTTCAGGGCCAAAGGTATATAGACTTTTGCCCTTGGTCCAAACCATATGTGCGTAAGACTTGGTCTCAGTCATAAGGTTGATGATGGTCTAAGCAAAACGCAGCTATGTAACGGTTCACGATCACATTGACATCCGAGCTTATTAATCGAATTGTCGATTACTCTTGTCCTGAGTCACTTTCTTACCCGATCGATTGAGGTGAATCACCGCTGAATTTGTTCATTTTCGTATGGATCTCAATCGATTGACTTTCGAACACGTATGACTTTTTGAAAGCCTGGAATGTTACATCGTGTTGAAAAAGGAATACTCTGTACACACTGAATGTGTCTGAACAGTTTTGAGGAAATGATCGTCATCGTAATCACGATACTTTATACCGGAACTACTTTTATCATACGTTTCAATCAAAACTGTTCAAAATTTACTTCTACCTGACCCATGATAACACACCGTATAAGATGCTATTTGATGGCTGATAAATCAAAAGTTTTCTCGGATTTATGATTAATTTCAGCTCTCGTTTCCAAAAACACCACCTCCAAGTGTGGTAAAAGGAGGAAGAGCATCCACTTTGAAGTAAGTCACCTTGATAATATAATCAAATACCAAAGAAAATTCCTAGATAGTTTGTTCTCTGGTACATATCTGTTTTCCCTCTGAATCGTATGG